CACACACACACACACACACACAGACACACACACACACACACACACACACACACACACAGACCTGCAGTGACTCAGATAATTAGTGAGTCTGATTTCTTCTTCTTTCCTCTGACAGACGCTGAACCTGTGAAGTTCTCATTATAATCATGAGAACTGTGATGAAGTGACTCGGCACATTCACCTTTATCTAATCCAAGCATTTTACTTTGAAAGGGTGCCGACTTTTATTTTGTTTTCAGCTCACCAGCTTTTTTATGGATGAACCAAACTAAAAATGTCCTCAAACACCAGCTCGTTCCATCATCCAGGAGCCGTCTGGTGATAGTCTGAGAATCGGCCAAAGACATCACTGAGAGGAGATCATCAAATCAGCAGTTTGGATTCACAGCCAGTAAAATGCCCAGATTTTAATCCCATCGAGAGTCTGTGATCAGTCCTTTTAATGATGAGGCGGGATCTCCATCAATCAGGATTTGGCCCAGAGGCTGCACACCACAGAGGACTGCACAAGTAACAAAGATGAGGACTGAAAATACAGACTGTTCACGTATGCCTCATTAAGTTACCATAAACTGTAAAACTTATCGAATGTTTCTGATTGATCTTCACAGAAACGTGAGAAAGCGAGCGAGCAGCAACTAAACCTCTGCATCAAGGTCACTTTCTAAAAATATTTTAATACAAATTTTTTTTGTGTCTTTTACAGAAAATTTCTTTCAGATTTTCATCCATTAATTTGTCTTCTTATAATCTTTAACATTTTTTCTTTCCTGTAACTTTATGCTGGGAAAAGTTCAGGAAAAACCTGTTAGCAAACTTTAAACAAATCTACAGTTTTTGTATGAATTCTGTTTTTTCTGTCAGAAACTGTTAAATGTTTATTAAATCAGACTTGTGAGTGTTGCAGAGGAACATGAACATATAATGACCATGTTTCTAACGTCTCGTAACGCCCGTCGCTCTTTGCTCACCAATCTGTCGCTCAAGGTCGGCGGCCTCGTCTGGTGTCGCTCGGGGTAAAATGCCGGGGTCGCTGAAACTTGCCCTGAACAGCATCCCCATCACGAAGATGAAGAGAACGCCGCCGACCGCCGGGATGGCCGGGGTCAGGTTGGACGCCAGGAAAGGACAGCTGAGGAAACACGGAGAGAAACATGAGAACAAATGTGAGTTCTTCAGGACACTTCAGGAGGCTTTTCTGTCTCTTCTTCGTTTTTTAGCTTCGAGGACAGAAACGGTTTTAAATCACATTTCTGGTGTTTTTTAAATTGAGTGAAAATGGTTGTGCCATTAGTATTTCACAGACTCTGTGGAATTGGGGCTTCTGGGTCATTCAGGAAGGTAAATGTGGGTATCAGCTGGATTTTGTTTTGGCCACAGTCTGGTGACATGGATCATGACATGAATCAGTACACTGTGATACTGGAAGGGAGGAAAGATACTCTTATTTTGTCCAATAAAGTGTTTAATAAATGTTTCAAATATATTGATAAAAACAACATATGCTGCTCTGCTGAAGCTTCTCAGTTACTACAGAGACTCGGTGCTTTTGTTATAGTCTGTTAGCAGTTTAAGCTAACTAACTGAGGCTAGCTGGTGAGGAGATAGAAGAAATGGGCTGTAGCCCAAAAATGGATCCCATGAGACAGTTTTCCTCTAAACTGATGTAAGAGTTTCTACAGCTGGGGACGAAGCTTCTTCCTGGTGGAGAAGAATAAAGTTCTGAAGGATGAACTGGAGGAAAAACTAATTTTCCTTTTTTATACAAACAGTCCCTGTACTCTGCAACACCACAGCACAACAGGAAACTTTGCAACTATTAGAATCAGTCATGGATGTAATCTACATTATTCTGATGATTGATTTATTCTTAAATAGGTGAAAAATTTAAATATTAAAAAGCAGAGGATCAATTTTCTGTTTGAAATGACTACAGGTAAGTTGTGTTCCCGGTACTTCAGCATCTAGCTAGTGCTGCAGAAGAGGAGTGAGCATAAAGGGAGTAACGTTTTTTTAGGTGTCAGGTAATCTGACACAGTGTGTTGCTAGGTAAAGATCCAGCTGCTGTATTTTACAGGGAGAGAAAAGAAAGAGAGCTTCACTCAGAGATGGAGAAAGATAAGAAAGACAGGACAGGAGAGGAAGAAGAGCGCTTAGATTTAAAGGGAAGGACTGCTCATTTACAGCTCACATGTAAGTCCTCGTGTTTTTAAATCTGTACATGTGACATGTGACAAACTGAGGCAGACTGTGTTATTTAAAGGCTGCATGAAAATCAGGTTAGTTTGCTGCACTGTGGTGGATTTACAGTAAAGAACAGTGTGTGACTGGTGCACAGTGGCTGTGGTTTCATGGTCACAGTTAGCTTATATCAAGTGTAGCAGAGGTTCATATGAATTTCAGTTGATGATGGTTGTATAGTGTCTAATATAAAGACAGTACAAACAGTGTACTGTCAGAGTAGGACAACTCAGGAAACATCTGCTCACATCTGTTTGAATTCTGGTGTGTACATCCACAAAGAGAAGCAGGTCAGGTGATCACAGCCTGTACACTACAAAAACACACACACACACACACACACACACACACACACACACACACACACACACACACACACACACACACACACACCACCTGCTGAATCCACTTTAACCCATGAATGTACACATTTTCCTGTTTAGAGGTAAAGTCCCCCTCTACAGTGGAGGCACTAGAAAACATAAATATCTCTATTTTACTTTTCTTTTCTGCAGATTTAAGCTGAGTGTAATTAGCATCACAAGTTAAAGTAAAGTTTGTATTCCCGTCTACTGATACTATTTTATTAGTACATTATTATAACACAAAGCTGTTAGCTTTTTCCAAAAACAGAAACGCCTTCCAAAGAGCTGCTTTTTTCTTACTCTAAGTACATTTCAGAGCCAGTACTTTTTACTTTTACTCGAGTAAAGAAGTTGAATCAGTACTTCAACTTTTACTGCAGTATTTTTAACACTAGTATATGTACTTCAGTACTGAACCAAACACAGTGAACAAAAGTGACATGAATGATTTATTACATATATTTTACTCATTGGGTTACAGACTGGGGCTGAGGGTTCATGTTTAAAATAAAGGATTATAAAGAGAATTATTAGGCAAGTTGTATTTTTGAGGAATAATGTTATTATTGAACAACAACCATGTTCTCAATGAACCCAAAAAACTCATTAATATCAAAGCTGAATGTTTTTGGAAGTAGTTTTTAGTTTTAGCTATTTTAGGGGGATATCTGTGTGTGCAGGTGACTATTACTGTGCATAATTATTAGGCAACTTAACAAAAAACAAATATATACCCATTTCAATTATTTATTTTTACCAGTGAAACCAATATAACATCTCCACATTCACAAATATACATTTCTGACATTCAAAAACAAAACAAAAACAAATCAGCGACCAATATAGCCACCTTTCTTTGCAAGGACACTCAAAAGCCTGCCATCCATGGATTCTGTCAGTGTTTTGATCTGTTCACCATCAACATTGCATGCAGCAGCAACCACAGCCTCCCAGACACTGTTCAGAGAGGTGTACTTTTTTCCCTCCTTGTAAATCTCACATTTGATGATGGACCACAGGTTCTCAATGGGGTTCAGATCAGGTGAACAAGGAGGCCATGTCATTAGTTTTTCTTCTTTTATACCCTTTCTTGCCAGCCACGCTGTGGAGTACTTGGGCGCGTGTGATGGAGCATTGTCCTGCATGAAAATCATGTTTTTCTTGAAGGATGCAGACTTCTTCCTGTACCACTGCTTGAAGAAGGTGTCTTCCAGAAACTGGCAGTAGGACTGGGAGTTGAGCTTGACTCCATCCTCAACCCGAAAAGGCCCCACAAGCTCATCTTTGATGATACCAGCCCAAACCAGTACTCCACCTCCACCTTGCTGGCGTCTGAGTCGGACTGGAGCTCTCTGCCCTTTACCAATCCAGCCACGGGCCCATCCATCTGGCCCATCAAGACTCACTCTCATTTCATCAGTCCATAAAACCTTAGAAAAACCAGTCTTGAGATATTTCTTGGCCCAGTCTTGACGTTTCAGCTTGTGTGTCTTGTTCAGTGGTGGTCGTCTTTCAGCCTTTCTTACCTTGGCCATGTCTCTGAGTATTGCACACCTTGTGCTTTTGGGCACTCCAGTGATGTTGCAGCTCTGAAATATGGCCAAACTGGTGGCAAGTGGCATCTTGGCAGCTGCACGCTTGACTTTTCTCAGTTCATGGGCAGTTATTTGGCGCCTTGGTTTTTCCACACGCTTCTTGCGACCCTGTTGACTATTTTGAATGAAACGCTTGATTGTTCGATGATCACGCTTCAGAAGCTTTGCAATTTTGAGACTGCTGCATCCCTCTGCAAGATATCTCACTATTTTTGACTTTTCTGAGCCTGTCAAGTCCTTCTTTTGACCCATTTTGCCAAAGGAAAGGATGTTGCCTAATAATTATGCACACCTGATATAGGGTGTTGATGTCATTAGACCACACCCCTTCTCATTACAGAGATGCACATCACCTAATATGCTTAATTGGTAGTAGGCTTTCGAGCCTATACAGCTTGGAGTAAGACAACATGCATGAAGAGGATGATGTGGACAAAATACTCATTTGCCTAATAATTCTGCACTCCCTGTAGAAGAGCCCCAAAAATAATTTGTTTTTTTCTTCACTTTTTACATTTCAGATCATTTAGGAAATTTAGTCTCGGTGTACTTTATATGGTAACGTATCAGTGCATGCATATCTATACTGCCTATCAGCCTTGAATCTGGTTTGCAGACTTCTTTAGGTTTATATGTTTTTAAATTCATGTTACTCTCACCAAGCTTTTTCTTTCTTCGCTGGTACTTTGAGTCTTTGGCGGAGGCGTCAGAGACGTCTCAGGTTTACAACCCCCCCCACCTCCCACCCCCATTCCATCTCCTGCTGTTACCGTAGTGACATGAGCTGCAGGAGACAGTTACCGTGGAAACGGGAAGCACGGGGATGCTGTTGAAGGGAAGTCACCAAGAGGAATGTGGGAGGAAGAAAAATAAAATAAAATTAACCCTCCAGACGTCCCTGAGGGCTACTTTCTTTTCTTTTTTATTCACACTGTTATTAAATCAGGTCGGAGGTAAAACCCGGGATAATTAGCTCTGCATGAACCAAGGAACTAACCTGAAGGAGGATTTATTACAGCACCGCTTCATTTAGTTTGACTCTCATTTTCTACTAAAAAATAATTTATTCATATTTAGAGCTGAACCTGAAACTGTTCACTGTTCACAAAACCCAACAAAATCAGACACACAGGGCAAAGACCCAAAGCATCAAAGAGTCAAAGAGTGAAAGACTCAAAGCCCTTTTCAGTGTTTTCAGATTAACAGTCAGTAGGATTCGGTGTCTCCTTTTAGCTTTCATGAGTTCTAACATCAGGAAGAAACTGAAGATGACTTCAGCCTGATCTAGGTAAACACACCTGAGCTCAGAGACAAAACTGCTGCTCTTCTTCACCAAGCTGGACAAAAACTCCAAAATAAAAGCACCAGAATGATGGCTTCAAAATAAAAGAACATTCCTCCCACAACGATACATTAGACTTTAATCTTTCCGAACTACTTTGGTGAAATTATTGAAAACAGAACATTAAATTATTAAAATTATTAGGAAGTGCTGAAATTAACTTAGAAAATGTGAATTTAATCCCAGATTGATGACTCTGATCTGTTTATTTTAGTTCTTTTTAGTCATTCAGGAACAAAATATAATCCTCCCTGAAACTCTTAACCGGATATTTGAAGTTTTATTTTAGGGCCTTTTTATTTCTGTGACCTCACAGGGGCCTTCAGCTGGGGTCAAAAGTCACCTTCAAACCTTTACACGTTAGACTATAAGCTGCTGTTACTCACTCAAAGGTAAAGAAGAGGCCGCAGGTGAGCAGGATGAGGACCAGGGTCAGGTAGAAGACCCCGGTCTGCCGGGCCATCATGATCCTGCCGTCGCAGTAGAACCTGTTCCTGCCTGGGAACACCTGCCACTTCTTGCGGGGACTCCGGCTCCTGTGACCGGGGCAGTGGGCCGGCTCGGAACCGTCTGCGGGGGGCGGGCAGCTGCCGCCACGGGTGCAGATCTGGTTGTACCGGCCCTGCTGGTCCAGAGCCGCGTGCTGGATCTGAGACATGCGTCCACACAGGTGAGCGCGCAGGTACAAAAGACTGAAACATAAACCGGAGGTGTACGCGCGCTGCCGGTGCCGCGTTCAGGGTCTCCGCGTGAATCTTTTAATAAGGAGTCGGAAAAAAGACAACGGATCCGTCATCTTAAAAGGAGAAACACGCTTTTTGTTTCGCGTTATTTTATAAACAAACACGAACTCGTGGTCAGACGCACGCGCGCTGGATCCACGTCCAAGAAGCTCCCCCAGCTCCCCCGCCTCGCACCCTGATCTGCCCCTCACAGGCTGCAGTCCAGGTTTAAATCCCGGGTTAAGGACGCGGGTCCGGGTCTGAGGACGGGAGAGGATCCAGGGTGTTGAATGGTCTGAGTCTGCGAGGAGGAGGAGGAAGAGGAGCAGCAGCAGGAGGAGGAGGACATGGAGAGCATCCCGATCCTCCGCAGAGCTGCACAGATCCTCCACTGAGGTGGTGATCCACTCTGACAGGAGAATAAACACGGAGGAGGTTCACCTCACAGACAAAGCAGAGGATTTAGCGAGCCCTCGATAATTAATAATAATTAATCATTGTTCTACTGTACTCTCAGGGCTTTGTCTTTCATGTTACTTAAACGCTGACTGGTGAGTTTCTATGAGTATCATTCGTATTTCCGGGTTCGCGATTTCTGAAAGTAACTGAAAGTGGTCGCTTAATAGACCCTGTGCACGAGAAAATGCTAACTTCCTGGTTTGAGACCGGATGTGGGGTTGTACATTTCCGGTAGCTTTACTTTGCCGTCAATCGCTACTGCGAAGATATACTCCAAAATCATGTTCAAAAAAATTTGAAAACGGAAAGATCGTGTTAAGTTACAAAGAGCAGAAGGTGGGAACACTCACCAGTGTTGTGTCATAAAATATCTAATGATCAATTTTAACGTTTAAAGCGTTTAGATCGATCAGTTGTTTACATCACTCAACACAAGCAGAACTGCATCACTACATGCAGAAGACACATCGTCCACATTCAGAAGCACATCTCTGTATAGTGACTGGTCTTATGATTTAAACAGGCAAATGTTCAGCATTCAAACTACAGGTGAAGAATAGTCAAACCAGATGTTTCCCCCATTATGTTGATATCAGCTAGTCAAGTACACACCTACACAGCATGTTAACAAACCGTGAAAAAAGCCACACAAAAAATGAATGATTGCTGGTAACGGTTTCTATACATTAGTATTTACAAAGGGTATTTTGTGACTTACCTTCAAAATTACAGCGGTCCCTCGCTATAACGCGGTTCACCTTTCACCTCACTGTTTCGCAGAATTTTCAGTGCAAGTTTGCATGCTTTTTTTTTTACATCACATTGTGTCCTGCGTCCCGATTGCTGCAGACAATCTCCTCCGTGACGTCTCTCCTGTACAGTACAGAATCGCTGCATCGATCGCTAGCAGTGTGACTCTGAAGTGCAGTACTGTATGCTCACGATAAGGACGAAACGTTTTGCACCACAAAAAATAAAATTGGCTACTTGATTTCACCTATCGCTGGTTATTTTTAGAACATAACACCCGTGATAAACGAGGGACAGCTGAGAAATATAACATTTGAATCCCTTTTCTCTTTTGCTCTGAGGCGCGGGGGGAAAATATCGACAAGTCGATGAACATCATTTACAGATATATTGGGTAAATGCCCGAGACATCTATAGAAATGTAAATTGCCGCTTGATTCATTCATTTGCTTAACTTGTTTTGGACCATAAACAGGGCGCGAATAGGACACCGGAAACAAAGCTCCCCACAGGAGTTTCCGCACCGGAAGTAGCATATGCTAACGTGCACATTTTCTTTTAAATATTAAACTTTATTAAGAAATAGTATACAGAACATGTGTACAACCAGAACAAAATTAACATATACCAGGGGGTGTAATACAAAGAATTACAAACATTCAAATAATTGGTAATTACTACAAATAGTAATAGTTTTCATAGCCTTTTTGTTAAGTGATCCACTAATCAATTTTATGTAACATAAAACATCATTATAGTAATGTTTAAAATTAGGCTTTTTGTTACTGTATTTGCATTTGTGAAAATAAAATTTAGCTAAGATAACTAACAAGTTTATTATAAATTAAACATCTTCTTTTTTTTGCCTTCAAAAGAAACAAAATACAACATTTTCTCATTTCACAGTAAAGTCTTTATAGAGATGTCCAGCAATGAATCTACTGAAGTCTTTCCAAAATGTTCTAGCGTATGAACAGATCCAGAAGAGGTGTTGCACAGTTTCAGGATTGTGGTCGCTGTATCAGAATCATATCCGGACTACAGATTCCTTTTTGTGTCCTTTAAAATGTTTGGGAGTGAGACTTCCTGTATGAGCCCGACATCGAATCTTTTTTAAAAATAGACGATCTTTGGTTCGGGATTCCGTCTCTGTGGTTCTTTGCTCTGTGAAAAAAAAACAACTAAAAAAATCATAAAATAAAGCTGTTGTACTATTTGTACATTTAAGTTTATTCTGTGTTCTCCTTTAACATAAACACACTTGTGTTCCTAGCTGCTTTGTTTCTGCTCGGACGTTTTACGGAAACGGACCGAAGCAACATGACAGCTGAGGAAGACCTGGATGTGACCGCGGGAGCAGAACGAGATGAAGAGGCCAAACTGCAGGTGTTAAAAGGTACCTAAAGGGGGTCACCTGACCGGACTGCTGTCCACGCTGGCAGGAGGTGTTCGTAGGTTTCTGCTGTATGTTTTTCTGTTCGAGGCCACGACAATGTCGAGCTGCTGCGCCAGACTCCGCTGAAAAATCGGACATTTTCAGATTTGATTCGCTGTTAAAGGATTCCGCCGCATAGAAACACAAGATAAAGCATTTTTTCCTGAAGCTTAAATGTTTTCTGCTCAGTTCCGCTAAACAAAAAAGTCGAGTTGATTGGTTATTTCTGATGTAGTTACTAAATTATTTTCGTCTTCAGTCCCTTTCAGCAGATCAGACACTTGTTCTCAAATTCAAGTCAAATTATTTTAATGTCTAATCGAAAAGTAACTTCGGGTATCACGAGTTTTGGTGTTTTAGTACTTGTAATTAAAAATTATAGAAATAAAGAACTTGCTTTGAGAGTTCTGCACAGAACAAATGTGATAGGGATTGTTGTCGTTGTTTTGAATTCACAGCAAGCCACCAGACCTCATTCAAAAAACATCAGTTTTCAGGAACGCCAGCATCGAGGACAGAGACTCGTGTGTTCCTGCAAATAATATCTTTTTCTAGACGACGCCAGACTCAGTTCAGAACTATTGCATTTTAAGGGTTGTCTTTATAAAGGAGCATTTGAGAAATGTTATAAAGTTATTTTACTCAGGCTGTTTAATGAATTTTCTTTGGAACAAACAGTTATTTTAAGTCTGTGAAGGTTCTCAGTCATCCAGGTCATCGTAGTCAAAGGAGCTTGTAAAGAAAGGCGTCTGGACTGAAGAAGCTTCTCGGATGAGAGGTGAAACGTCTTCAAGTAACTTCTCGGCTGAGAGGTGAAACGTCTTCAAGTAACTTAAAGAAGTTACTTGAAGACGTTTC